TAAGAAGCGATTAAAAGACAAATTGAATACATTTTTTTTATGGGTGAAAATGGAATGGTAACACCGCCTGCGCTAACGAAATACGCTGGCGGAGCACCAGGGAAGGGTGATAGATGAGAATGAAAACAGGCCAGTTAGCCTATCATGATGAATTCATCAGGAATTAACCATGATAGTGGAACCACGAGGAGGTCGACCTGGTTGGGTATATTGTTAGCAATGGGATTTTGTCTCCATCACTAACAATCCCTTTCCCCCCAGTACAAGAGATTAAATTCTGTCATTTTTTTACTTGTATTGCTGTTGTAAGAATATATAGCTCTAGTCGTACATTTGACGCAGCGCCATCTAGGCTCATTACTAAACAGAACTATATATTATATAAGTACTATATGACAATATACATTTTATTTTGTAAATGCATGAATATTATATAATAAATGCCCGAATATATACAGATATATATCATGAATAAATATAAAGATTTAAATAGATATACTGTGCCGGAATCGAATCGGTAACCACCGTATGGTACAGTACGTATACTATACCGTCATTTCGCCATTCTAATAAGTTCGTCAAATTTAAAACTATGTTACGGTACGTAGTGGTTTGTTTGTATGGCTTCAATTCAAAGGTCAGCATCATTCAATTGAGTACAATCTTATTGTTAAATGTCGCATGTTATTACAGTTAAAGGACGCGTCGGGGAATAGGTGTAATCAGCTTTGTCTATATGAATTGCTCAGTGGCTATTTTGCCGCTCCGTGCAAATATGAATAGTTAAAAATCTCAGACGTCACTTGTTTTTAAAATGGAAAAAGTATATGCAGTCGTTGTTTAGAGTCCTGGGATCTCGGTCTCGGATTAGAATAATTGCAGCCCTTTTATATGACCATCTTAACTCCTTTTAAGAAAACGAAATTGGATTAGACTTTTGCTACGGAGATTAGACAATTGTATGTCCAGGGTCTAAGTGTCAAGTCGGAGGCAAGAGAACATCTGGCCGTCTTAGAACCACATAATTTAATTAGGAGGAATTTAACACTTGCTGCATAGCAACGTATATATATAACTTCCTTCTATGACTACTATGTTCCTGATGAGTGGCAACAGGAAGACATATGGGAATAAAGGAATTCTTAATAATGGGTTCTAACAGCGCCATGTCGAATTGGAAGGAAAGGAATTGTTAGTAATGGGGTGCAACAGCCTATTATTAACAATATGCCCTATAAAATTAACTAAACCCTATCAAGCTTTACTTCCACAGTATTCCCCCTAGAATCTGTCGTAGTTAATTCTTATTGAATTCGTCATGATGGGCTAACTGACCCCACAATCCTGGTGGAAAGGGATTGTAATGGAGACTAAGAATCCCATTGCTAGCAATATACAGATCGACCTCCTCGCGGTTCCCCCTGGAAACTATCATGGTTAATTCCAAATGAATTCATCATAACTGCTAACTGACCTGTTTTCATTCTCATCGATCACCCTTCACTGGTGCTTCGCCAGTGTATCCCATTAGCGCAGGCGGGGTTACCATTCCATTTTCACCCATCAAGACCCCACAATCCTCACCTATCATTACTCACTGGTGCCTGGTGGTTAATTGACCCAAACGAATATATATATATATATATATATATATATATATATATATATATATATATATATATATATATATATATATATATATATATATATATATATATATATATATATATATATATATATATGGCAGATGGCCTTTACAACTTCACCGAACGCGTGTGTGCAGGGGCGAGTGCAGATGGCACTCCAAGCCCGCGAGAGGGGAGCGACAGAGGTGTCGGCTATTTCTAATGGACTGCGGCGTGCCCCCGAGGGCGCCTAAGTGGCTCGAATCTCGACTCGGGCCGCCACACTTCGACCCCCGTCGAGGGACGGTGGGTCGGTGAATCGAATGGGGGAACGAGGAGACGCCACGGACGGCGCATTTTCAGGCGTAAAACATATGTTCCGCGAAAGCGAACCGGGTGTGATGAGCCTTCGCCCCCGCCGGCGGGGACGGTGTGTGCGGTGTGTGGGTGTGATGTCTGCGGGCCCTAGGGACGAGAGTTTCGCGGTAGTTGAGGGAGACGCGTTAGCCTCAGTTATGGAATCGTCGAGATCTAAGAGTGCATGCCTCGGGCGACGACGTCTGAATGTGACGTTCTCTCTTGGGGTGTACGAGCCCGCTTTGACTACCAGCGGGTTCGGGTGGGATTCGGACGCAGCGAAGTAGCGTCGAGACGCTTCCTTCATATACTGCTTGATGAAGGGGATTTTAAGATCGCGGTGAAGGTCCGCGTTGCGTTCGAACCACGGAGCGCCCGTGATTTGACGCAGACATTTACTTTGCACCGCCTGGAGGTGCTGTAGGAGGAGGGAGCTACGTGGGTGAAGACGACGCTAGCGTACGTCAGCACCGGTCTAATACATGCTTTGAACAGCGTTAGCTTCGCATTGAGCGGGAGCTTGCTGTACTTATTTAAGAAGGGGTGGAGGCGACCCCGTATGAAACTGGCTCTCGCTCGGATTTTCTTGATATGAGACCATACCATTGGCCCCGCTCGTCGGCCGCCCGCTGGAGACTGTTGACCACCAGGGCGGCCGACGGGCTGTCCACGTAGAGTGCTCTGTCGTCAGCGAAGAGGGCGAGTCGCACTCGGGGCTGGCGTGGAATATTGTAGGTATACAACGAGAAGAGGGTGGGTGAGAGGACGGCGCCCTGTGGGACGCCGGCTCTGATCGGTCGTGCGCTGGAGCGCGCGCCCTTGACACGAAAGCGATAGGTCCTGTTCGACAAGAAGGCTCGTATGATGTGCACGAGCCTGTCCGGCACTCCCAGTTTGTGCAGCTTGTAGACCAAGCCGCTGTGCCAGACTTTGTCGAAGAATAGGACACCGGTGGCCCCTTTAGGCTTGAAGTGTCGGGCCTCTAGGATGTGGGTGGAACTAAGTGAAAGTAATTTTGTTTTTATACAACTTAGAATGGCAAACAAGCTGACGGCCCACCTGATAGAAAGTGGTAACCGTCGCCTATAGACATGAGCAGTACCATGGATATAACAGAGTATTCTGTTTCGCCCATGATACCCCCCATGCATTGCCATTCCTGAGGAGTCAGGTGTTATTCCTCTGTACCCTATAAATTCACGCCATATCCCACTCTTCAAACCGAAACACAGCCATGCAAACACAACTGCTTCACGGTAGAAACACGAATGGGACAGAGGTACCCAAGCAATCGATTTTTGTACAAATTCCTTGTTCAATGTCTTAAGAGGATTGATCTCAAGTCGATAAATAACATTGATTAAGATTTTACAATAACATACAGTGATCTCTTGTGAATTCCTTCTCTGTATAATAAATGTAAACTAAGCAAAACTTGTATTATACTGTAGGTACTAAACAAATGTCAATTGATTTATTCTAAATCATCATCATCATATCAGGCTTTAATTGTCCACTGTTGAACATAAACCTCCCCCTTGGAGGGTTTTGGCAATGTTGCCACGCTTGACAGGCGGATCGACAACTGCAGTTAGGCTTTGGAAATATATTAAAAGGGATGCTGCTGCCCGTCCCTCGTCCTCCCAGTCATTTCTTACGACACTCACTGGAAGGGGTGGTCTATTCTATGCCGGGACCATGTGGTAATTTTTTTTAAATGCATACATAATAATAAATAAATACGCCGTGACTAATACAAACGCTGTCCTCATGCATACAAATATTTGTATTAAACCAAACCCGCAACAATCTGAAGGCAATGCCACTACAACGCCAATGTCGTCAGGGGAATAAAAAAAAATGATCTTTTTTTAGACTCTCTGCCAACTATTAAATGAAGTGGTTACTGTAACTGTTGTAAAATACCAACCTCTAAATAAAATTATTCTTATTTAAATCGGAAATTTGATGTCTCTTTTTTCTTTTTCCTTTTTTTATTTTTTGCTGTAAACTTAGACGGTATTTTCACCAAATATACGTCGTGTATATCTTAACAATGACAACTCTTATAATACATAATAATATGTATGGTATTCATATGATAATTTGCATGTTTTTTTTAACATAAAAGTTTTTTATTAGATATACTTATTGCGCCTAATAAATTTTCTATGATAGATATAGATAAATATAAAACATTATTTAAACATTGGTATCGGGTAACCGTTTCGGCATGGGAGAGAGGATTGTTACTAAACGCTCTAGTATACTCTAGCGGGAAGTATCCCGCTAGAGTATAACAGGTTACTATTCCATTTTCATCAATTAAAAAATCTATTTCGAGATAGAAAAGAAAGATTGCATAATGTGTAATGGAACACATGATGAAACGTGCATTGTTCACCTAAATTGCAAAAAAGATTAACTTTCAAGTAGTACATTAGTCGGATTCATCTTATTCAGGGCTAAATATAACAATCCCTTAAATTTTTTCGTAATTTGGTGCAGTAGTTTTTGTGATGCTGAAGCATAGATACAAACAGACCAACGGATAAAAAAAAAATATTTTGCCTTTGTTGGTCTTGTTAAGACCCCTCATATTTTCATCTCAAAATCTTCCATGTACAGAACATCTACTAACAATTTTATTATATTAGTAAAACATATATATTTTTTATAAGAAAAAATGTTATCTACAAAAGTATTTGTTTTAGCTGTTAATGTTATTCTTCGATTTTGATTTCATAATTGTTTTTTTTTTTATTTTCGTTTAGGACATTAGGTACTTTTATCTGTGTACAGATTTCCTATAGGAATTTGAATCTAATTATGTTCCGCTATTTAAAAACGGAGTTGAGTAATAATTTTAATTAAAGTGGAGTAATAATTTCTAGTCATTTGTTTCAAATTTATTAATATTCTAATTAGTATTAATTATTTATGTTAATTAACAAATGGGTCATTAGACTCTACTGCAATTATACAGGTTAGTATTTAAGCACACAAGATGAATTTATAAGAACACATTACGTTGCATCGTCATTCGCTACTGCAACGCGTTAGTAGTTGGTATACAGTCACCGTGCGGACTGCTGGCACTTTACGCAAAAAAAAATCGTGTGCTATTTATTCGAAAATTTTAAATTTGGTATTATTATTGTGCTATATTTGTGTACTATTGTGACCTTACTTGTTTCTTGGTAAGTTGTTCATTTACCATTACCAATTTTAATTGACAGTTTTCTTTTTTATAACAATAGATTTAGATGTCTCTTGTGCGATTGAGTATTAACCTATCGTTTGATTGCATGAAACCTATGTAGTTGCGAAAGATAATTCAAATTGCCGTAATGGTTCGTGCCCCTAGATGTACGTTATCTTATTTCTCGTATCTATAAGGAATACTAGTTTGAAGAGCAATGAAATTAATATTATGAAATATATATTTTTTTATATCACATAATACTTATAACTACTTAGATGTTTACAATAATTAATATTTATATCATGTGGCTGACGGTAATAATGGAAAATACGTAAATAATAAATTAATATTAACACACTACCCTCGATCTCTTTAAAGTATAACATCTACATAATATCTCAGTTCATAAGTGCTTAGAAATGTGAAATAAGCAATTGTAAAAAAGGAAATTTTGCATCACCATAGTCCGATGACACGAATTTAATTTTCAATAAAATTTTTGTCTGTTCTTTGTAGAAATTTTGCTATTATATTCCGTGTCAGAAGTATGTATCATAAGAAATTATATTAATAAGTAGATACTGATTTAAGATAATCAGTGATAAAATGTCATGTCGTAACTATTTCCAAAAAGAATAAGTTCTAAAATTGACTGTATTTTTTTCTACGATGATTTCAAGCATTCTTTTTGCAGTCGCCGGAGTTTATTAACCCATTGGTTCTATACAATTTTTCTCTGGATTCTTTTATGGGATAAAATCAATCAATTATAGATATTATATCAAATTGAAACATACGCCAGATTTAAAGTTAGACCTTCATGAATATAAGCATGAAAACCTTATCCAATTTGATATAGCAGTTTTTGTGCAATGCCGAAACAAGCACACAGACAGTCAGACAGACAAAATTTGCAAAAAATATTATTTTGGCCTCTATTAGTGTTATTAAGACCCCTCTCACCCTTTTTATTATTTCTTAAATAACAAGAAGCACTTGTTCACGAGTATGACGGATGAGTTAGTCAACATTATGTTCAACCATATTATTAGGAGCCCAACAACCCAGCCCACCACGCTACCTCCAGTTTGAACATGCGTATGACTTGTTTCAAGATACGCGATTACGTCAAAAATATCGACAATAAATTCAATGTGACAATATACCCACTACAAAAGACATACATATATTTGTATAATTTGATAAATTCATAAATATTTCCAAGAATCAGTGGTTTTTTTAATGACAAAAATGTCAATATTTTAATAAATAAATAATATTAGCAACTATAATCATACTAAATTTCATCGTGCGATCCATGCAAACTGTTTATAATTACTCCTCTCGATCTAAAGGTTGCCTAGAGAGATCGTTTTAGCGATAAAGCTACGTATTGTTTTCTCATAAGTTTACTATTGTAATTTTTTGGAGGAAACAATAAAGAGTATCTATCTATCTATTATATATTACCCATTTTGAATTTATTAAAATTCAGTTTAAATTTACATTGGTCAAGTATTTGTGTCATTAATAAATTCGTGTATCTTGTAATAGGCCTTTTTACAAAGTCTTTTTTATAATGGCTTTAAAACGCCTTTCTGGGAAGTCCAGGATATATTTTGTTTTATATGTTTAGAATTGTTATAATTCACAGGCGTTATCCTAGTCGGATAGATGGTTAGTTGTACGACCACATGAAAATCACATACCTATATTGACGTTATCAGTTTCATTGATCCTTTATCCCTATAATCAGATTTGGTGACATTGAAATCTGTTAATAAATGATTGAGAAATAGTCGAAGTTTACGTATTTTAACGTAGAATGACGCTGGCCGCCGGCGCGCCCCTAGCGTCGCTCCAGCTACTTGAGATCGTCGTACTAAAAAGTTCGCGCACTTTGCCTTTATTTTGCGAAAAGTTGTTTATTTTTTTTTTATAAATATTATAAATAATGCATGAAGGCTTTGCAAAAGAACAAAGTGATAATTTACCAAGAATTCATCTAACTATATTGTTTTATTATTTAAAATAAATAAGTACTTTAAAGTTGTAACTTCGGATAAATTCAATTTATAAATTACAATTATTTAATTAAAATGCATATATTTCAAAAATATACAGCTAATATAGTCATCACCTGTGGCTTCGTTCTTGTGTAAATATTTACAGATTTCAATCTTTAATTTTCAAAGTAAGAAGCAATTTCATTCTGGTTTCAGTCTCATCTTTATTAATCGGATAAAGAAATACTGGGTATATTTCATTCTATGTCGTGTATGACGTACCGAAAACGTGTCTATTGATTATAGTAATGTCACGACAATAATGGCAAAAATGATCTTCGCACTAAAGTGTACGGACTATCTTGAATTGTTGCAAAATTAATTAACTGAAATCCAGTCACGTAATTACAAAAGAATGAAGGTTAAATTATAATTACCAAAAATATAACTAATAGATATTGAGCAATTCGTCTGTACGGACTGGTAACAACAACTCATCGATTGTCTATTTGGCTCTTACTACTATATAATTTTAAATAACGACCTTGGCAGTTTAACACAGTGCTTTACCTTCCGATAGTCGTGGGTTCGATTCCCTCACAACACAAAAATTTATATTCCTATGTATATACCTATATCTGGGCATTTTTATGTATACGTATGCATTTACTACAAATTTAAACTAATTATTTCTTATGTTACAACCTGTTGAATCCGGCAAACGTTGTTTTGTCACTTACCGCTACCTGCCAGACCTATTTTTTTAAACGGGATAAATGCTATTGATCTGATAATTTAAAGCAAACAATACCTATATATTATTTACAAAATATTATATTATAAACTGTCACATTTATTATATTAGTACGAAATAGGCTAGTGAAAAATTAAACTCCTATACAATATAAATATATTAGTCAATATATTTAATAGTAAAATATATATTTATTTATTTATTTATATTACGGCATATATAACATCTCTATATGTATTTATAAAGGATAGAATTTTCATCGTGCCACCGATCAAACTGTTTATAATTATTCCTTTCTGTCCAAAGGTTGCCTGGAAAATATAGGCTTATTAAATTAGTCCGCTCATTGTTTTCTCAGTGTGATCATTTCTTGTAATTGTTTGTATCTATAATAAGTTTACTACTGTAATGTTTTGGAGGAAACAATAAAGAGTAATTGTCTATCTGTATATTTAATATAATTTATCCTTTTTATTTTGTCATATTTATATTGTTAATTTAATTTAAATATTATCTTTAACTTATTTATCAATATATCTATTTTACAATACTGCTAAGTTGCATCGTCGGAAGTTTGTAATTAAATATGTAAATTTATACCTGAGCATTGCGACCTTGACTGTGTGCACGAGCGGCAAATAAAAAGCGTGAATTGCGAGTTTGGACTCTTCACCATTTCTAATTTAGCCAACTTTGACAAAAGGAGTGCATTAGTTAAGTTAATTCATATGAATTTGAAAATCAACTTTGAATAGAAGGATGTTCTAAATTCATTCATATTTTTTGTGTTTATATTATGCGATAGCTTCGGCATCAATCATCAATCGGCGAACAATTCGAAACGGTTTTGATATTTTTTTATCATAACTGGTATTTAAAAAAAGAATTATTAAACCAGTTCAGTAATGATGAATATATTACGTAAAGTCTGAATAAGTATTAGTCTTCTATCGTACGCTTCTTCAGACACTTCTTTCCACATACAGCCACGAGCAGTGGTAATTACATACCACCAAGTGAGTATTTTCGTTTGTTTCTATGTATATTATATATCCGTTTTAAAATTGATATGGGTCTAAGAAATGATCCTTCTTTCATTTAAATCAGCTGAAAACACTTATATGTGTAAATAGTGCGTGCGGAACTCTCACGACGCTAGACATCACAGTATAACTAAATTAATCCTCATTATCAATTCTTTAAGCCGCGTTTGCTTATCCAGCAAGCAGTCTTTCAGCTAAAATAATAATCAATCGATACCTAGGTAAGGTATAAAAAGAGCGTGAACATCCAAGAGGTTTTTTTTTTTTTATAAGCCGGCATCCCTGGTTCTAAGGCGAGATAAATGCAATCAATAAAACATTCTAAGCATTCGTTGCACAACTTTCAGTGAAATATGGCGGTCACGGACAGACGTATTAAAGAAATGTATTCGCAATATCAAATTTAATATACTTTGTGTTTTATTGTTATCATACACATCGACTTTCACTTTTATTTTATTACTAGCTGTATCTCGCGTATTTGCTCGTAGTTTTATCATAATTACAGGCTATTTAAATAGCTTGTATCCTTCCTTAAGAGATGAGCTATCAAATTCAAATAGAATTTTTCAAATCCGACTAGTAGTTCAAGGTGAAAACGCATTCAAACAAACAAACTTTTTTGCTTTATTATATTATTTAATAACAAAATCATGCTCGTACAATCTCTCCTACTTCCAATACTTGACTATGCTGACGTTTATTTTTGGCTTCTACGCTGAAACGTTTATAAAATCTAGCTGTCAGGTTCATCTTTGGTCTTTATAAATACGATCTGATCTCCGTCTTTCGCAATCAGTTAATGTGACTCCTTATCCGACTACGACGTAATACGCATATCTTGTCTTTCCTTTATAATATACTTAATGATCTCAATTCTCTATTGTGTCGGAGCAGAGGGCTCCCGCTTTAATGATTATCATCACCAATCCGTCCTAAAAGCTCCTGTCAGGTTCTGTCCAAGATGCTCGAATTTCCTTAGTGTAGGACATATTGTTTGTTGCCCAATTATGGAACAAACTTCCTTCCCACATACAAGAGAGTTCTTCAAGAAAAAGCTCTGGAATCTTATTCTTATTCATTTTTTATATTAAATTGTCAAATCTTAAAATCATTAAATAAATTTATAATACAGTTAGTATTTATGTAATATTATATATTAATATTTTATTTAACTATTTATTTGTAGCAT